CAGACAGTTTTAGTACAGAATTCTACCAGACTTTTAAAGAAGAGCTAATACCAATTTGAGCTAATACTCCTCAAATTATTCCACAAAACAGAAACAGAAGGAACATTGCATAATTCATTTTATGAGGCCACAGTTACCCTGGTACCCAAACAACATAAAGACTCAACAAAGAGAGAATTACAAACCAATTTCCCACATAAACATAGATGCAAAAAACACTCAATAAAATACTTGCAAACTAAAGCAAAGAACACATCAAAAAGATTATCCACCATGATCAAGTAGGCTCCATCCCAAAGATGCAGGCATGGTTCAACATACAAAATCAGTCAATGAACCGAAAGAAAAAAACCCACAATATCATCTAATTAGATGCTGACAAAGTCTTTGGCAAAATTCAACACTCCTTCATGATAAAATTTTAGAGAGATTAGGGATACAAGGGACATACCTAAACATAATGAAGGCAACTTATAGCAAGCAGATAACCAATATCAAATTAAATGGAAAGAAACGCAAAGCAATTCCATTAAAATCAGGAACAAGGCAAGGCTGTCCTCTCTCTATCTATTCAATATACTACTTGAAGTTCTAACTAGAGCAATAAAACAAATGAAGATCAAGATGATGCAAATTAGAAAGGAAGAAGTCAATGTATTGTTATTTGCAGATGATATGATAGTATACATAAGTGACACCAAAAATTCTACTACGGATCCTACAGCTGATAAACACTTTCAGCAAAGTGGCTGGATACTAGATTAACTCAAAAAAATCAGTAGCCCTCTAATATACAAATGACAAATGGACTGAGAAAGAAATCAGAGAAATAACACCCTTAACAGTAGCCACAAATAATATAAAATATCTTAGAGTCTCTAACCAAGCAAGTGAAAGACTTGTATGATGAAAACTTCAAAGATGTGCAGAAGATATCAGAAGAGGGAAAGATGCCTCCATGCTCATGGATTGGCAGGACTGACATAGTAAAAATAGTCATTCTACCAAAAGCAATCTACAGATTCAATGCACTTTATATAAAATTCCAACACAATTCTTTACAGACCTTGAGAGGACAACACTCAACTTCATATGGAAAAACAAAAAACCCAGGATAGCCAAAACGATCCTGAACAATAATAAACTTCTAGAGGTATCACCATCCCTAATTTTAAGCAGTACTACAGACCTATAGCAATAAAAACCACATGGTATTGATAAAAACAAACACATTGATCAATGAAAATGAATTGAAGACCCAGGCATAAATCCACACACTTATGGACACCTGAGTTTTGCTAAAGAAGCCAGAAATACACAATGGAAAAAAGAAAGCATCTTCAACAAATGGCGCTGGTCTAACTGGATGTCTGCATGTAGGAAGAATGCAAATAGATCCATATTTATCACCCTGGATAAAACTCCAGTCCAAGTGAATCAAAGACCTCAACATAAAACCAGATACACTGAACTTGATAGAAGAGAAAGTAGAAAATAGCCTTGAATGCATTTGCTCAGGAGACAACTTCCTGAACAGAACACCAATAGCTCAGACACCAAGATTGATAAATGGGACCTCATGAAACTGAAAAGCTTCTGTAAGGCAAAGGACACCATCAATAGGACAAATGGCAGTCTACAGAATGGGAAAAGATTTTTTACCAACTCCACAACTGATAGAGGGCTAATATCCAAAATATGTAGAGAACACAAGGAACTAGACATCAACAAACCAAATAAGCCAATTAAAAAATGGGGTACAGATCTAAACAGAGAATTCTCAACAGAAGACTCTTAAATGGTTGAGAAACACCTAAAGAAAAGTCCAACATTCTTAGCCGTCAGGGAAATGCAAATCAAAACTAATTTGAGATCCTATTTTACACATGTCAGCATGACTAAGATCAAAAACACAAGTGACAGTTCATGCTGGTGAGGATGTGGAGCAAGGGGAACACTCCTACATTGCTGGTGGGAGCGCAAACTTGTATAGCCACTATGGAACTTAATATGGCACTTTCTCAGAAAGTTGGGAATCAATCTACCTTAAGATCCAGCTATAACACTCTTAGGCATATACCCAAAGGACGCTCCATGTTCCATAAGGACACTTGCTCAACCATGTTCATTTCAGCTTTATTCATAATAGACAGAAACTGAAAACTGGATGTCCCTCAACTGAAGAATGAAAAAAGAAAATGTGGTGGTACATTTACAAAATGGAGTATTACTCAGCTGTCAAAAAAAAAAAAATAAAAAAACTGACATCATGAAATTCACAGGCAAATGGATGGAATTAGAAAAAAATCATCCTGAATGAGGTAACACAGAACCAGAAAGACAAATACGGTATATACTCACTTATAAGTGGATATTAGCTGTTACCTCAATGATAACAATGCTACAATCCAGAGACGCAGAAAGGCTAAGTAACAAGGAAGGTTCAAGGTGGCCAAGTGAGGGATTACATCTTATAGATTAATTCTGGACTCACTACTGTGAAAAATCTCATAGGAAGTAGAATTAGGATGCTTCTAATGACATCATTACTCTTATGGACACCCAAATAAGAATGAATGCAAGTGAATGGACTTTAAAAAAAAAAAAGCACTGGGGTGGCAAGATGGCTCAGAGGGCGAAGGTGCTTGCCTCCAAGCCTAATAACTTGAGTGTGGGCCTTAAAACACACATGGTAGAAGGACAGAACAAACTCCATTAAGTTATCCCTCTGAAATCCACATGTGCAATGTCATCTCTCTCTCTCTCTCTCTCTCTCTCTCTCTCTCTCTCTCTCTCTCTCTCTCTCATACACACAGAAAGAAAGAGGGAGGGAGGAAGGAGGGAGAGAGGAAGGAAGGAAGGAAAGTAAGTAGTTAGACAGACAGACAGATGAAAAAACATAAGCATCTAGCTGGGAGTGGTGTTGCACTGCTGTAATCTAAGCAGGAGGCTGAGGGAGGAGGATCACATATGTGAAAGAACAAAAGACAAATGAACCTGCACCCAACCAACCTCAAAACAAGCACCCAGCATGTACACCAGAGGAAGACAAAGACTCTTCCTATTAAATGTAAGTTAGTCATCTTCTGTGGTCTCTAATTTAGTATAATTGTTATATTAAAAAATATATAAGAGAACTTAAGAATTATTAAGTATACATCTGACCACAAACTCAATTCAATTCATTTTAGAGTACAGTTTCTTCCAGTGTTAAGTGAAGGAGAAATACCAGGTGACTTCTTACATCCCTAGCTTTGACAGTGAAATAGTTACCTTTCTGTTCCTCTTCACTGTCACTCTCTAAAAATCTAGAGTCCATTCGGAATCGTTCATCACTTCCAAAATGAGACTGCAAATCCATGAGCTACGTGGGAAAAAACATTGTCATGATAAGTGCATTTTGAAAGAGTCTCTAAGTGTACCTCCTCACACTCTGAAATTCTCTTGCCATTTATACAACTGCACTATCAACCAGTAAGAGGTGAGAGAGGATTCACTCCCACAAAAATTACCCCACACTGGAACTGCACCCTTTCCTTAACTAGATTTAAGGACTACCTTCAAAACTTAGACATGCTGCAACTGGTTCTATTTTCAGTCTTCACTAACCTTCTGGCCAGCTCTGCCCTCAAACTGAGGCTTAATGTTGAACCTGGTGCTGTCCTCCTTGGAATCGGATTCTTCATCATCACTGCTGTCAAATAACTTCCCAGATGCTTTACCCACAGATTCCTGTTATACAGATAAAAGAAGAAATGTTTATTAACTGAAATAATCAGCATTTTCCTCATAATGTGGTTTTACCCTACATTTAAAAACCAACAACCCGCCGGGTGGTGGTATACCATTTTAATCCTAGCACTTGGGAAGCAGAAGCAGGGGGATCTCAGTGAGTTGAGACCAACTTGGTCTATAGAGAGAGTTCCAGGACAGTCAAGGCTACACAAAGAAACTCTGTCTCGAAAAAACAAAACAAAACAAAAAACCCAACAACCCAGATGCATCTACAGAAACAAGTGTGTGGTACTGAGTCAGAAATAGTTAACTGGACTGCTGGATCATTAATCCACACACTCCCTGTTGCCACTTGGATTTGAGGAATAATTACCACATGCAAAAACACTCCCTACCGACTAGCATGAATACTGATGAGACTTTGCATAAGGTAGCAAACAGTTTCACGGTTGAGAAAAATCTCCAAGACCCCTGACATCTCAGGGTACGGTGGCTTCGGCAACTCTGGATCTCACTGCAGTCCCTACAATTTTATGAAGAAGTAATAGCTGTGTGGAGCTCTTGTTAGACAACAGACTTTACAGCTGGTGTGTTGGTATACATTGTAGTATCAGACTGATGCAAAACTTTTCAAAGCTTAATGGCAGCCTAGGATACCCAACATTCCTACCACAAAAAGAAAAACAGGGCAGGGAATCTGCAAAGTAGATTAATATTTGGAAGGCTTACCTTCACCAGCTCTTTCCCGACACAGTTTTGCTCAGGAGTGGATGTCCCTTCCGTTTCACTTTCATTATCAGAAGCAAAGACAATGTGTGTTTTTTTGTTCTCTGGATGACCATCCTAGTGAAACACAAGCAGCATCCCATTTCAAGACAGCCAACTGTATACTCATATCCACATCTATCATCTTCTCCCATCATTTATCCTTCTTTTCCTTATTCCAGGAATACCATTATCATCTGCTATTTTTCCAAGACAGAAACTCAGGCCTCCTTTCTCTCTATACTCAGTAACCACCGAACTCTATTAATTTGACCTCGGTATCTTTAAGAACCACCATTGCTATGGCTGTGGCACTTGACCTCTAAAAGGTTCTCCTTGCTTCCAGATCTGACTCCATTATATTTATTGTTTATGCCATGGCCTGAAGGATCTCTAAAACAGAGGCTGAAAAATTTTATCTGTCAAGGTTCAGACTAAATATCTCAGACACTGCTGGCAGGTCACAGATAAGTTTTTGTTGGGTGTTAAAAACTATTTCTGTTGAAGGACCAAGAAGGCTGAGTCTGATGAAGCAAGACTTTGCTGATACATTCCTCCTAGACAAAGGGGTGGTGAGAGCAGCACTTATTGGAGAAACCCACAGGGCAGACTGTACTACACAACCTTTAAAAAAAAACAAAAACAAAAACAAAAACCAAAACTATTTCTGCTGGATGCTCTGTGTATTGTAAAATGCCAACTCCTATTCCAAAATGTACACAACTAGCCAGGCATGGTGGCACATGCCTTTAATCCCAGTACTCAGGAGCCTGAGGCAGGCTGATCTACGTGAGTTCCAGGACAGCCAGGGTTACACAGAGAACTGTCTTGACAAAAAAAAAAAAAGAAAGAAAGAAAAGAAACCAAAAAGACACACACACACACAGACACACACACAACACACACACAAAGACAAAATGTATACAATTAATCTTCAATACCTTGATTAAAATTCTTCAATTTTTCACAGCTCTGAATAACCCACCCTATTAATCAGTGCTGCTTCAATTCTATAAATACCAGTGTCATGTAAAATATTAACTTTTAGATAAACAGCTCCCTTCTGCAGGAAGATCTCTCTTCTCCCTCACTACCTTTTCACATCAGTAAAATTCCTTCTACTCGCTGGGCAGTGGTGGCACACACCTTTAATCCCAGCACTGTGGGTGGGGGGGAGCAGAGACCCAGGCAGATGGATCTCTGTGAGTTCGAGGCCAGCCTGGTCTACAGAGCGAGATCCAGGGCAGGTACTACACAGAGAAACCCTGTCTTGGAAAAAAAAAAAAAATTCCTTCTACTCCCTTCACATTACTCAGTATAGGTTGAGGAAACCTAGTTGGCTTGGTGTTCCAAGAGACCTTGTCTGCCTGATTGCCACACCATCCATCAATAGCTGCATACGTAGCCACATGGGTATTTAACCTTTATTCTGTGAATCTAGCACTTAAAAGAAGACTTCATTGCTGAGGAATCAACAAAGGCTCATTACAAAAAATGCTACCAAGATATAACTCTTGCCTTAATCACTATACAAATTATATTTGTTAATGAAATGATGAATTTTAGATAACTTTAAAATATTTTCAATTTAATTTTGCATCCTTTTAGTACAGATTAAATAGCACAGGTGATATAAACTTTTACCATAAGGATAAAAATTAGTGAGTAGTGAATGTGAAAAAGACAATGAGCTCTATGAGGACACACCTACCTCCGAGGGAAGGAAAATCTAGACCTTGAGAATATTCTTGTTAAATCCATACACTGAAAATGCACTCACCAAATTTGCCAACGCATTGTGCACCAGTTTCTTCTGCACTTCTCTGGCTTTCTGCCACACTGCCAAGGCTGCTAGTCGCTTCTGATTGTCTTCAGCATGCTTAGCACTCATACATGAGGCATTACTAACAGAAAGTGAGAAATCAGCTGTGCTTTGAGGATCTTCCCTGAGAGACGGCTTTGGTGGTTTCTCACGAGATGTGACGGTGCTTGAATCAGGGCCTTCTTTCTCTGAAGCTTTTCTACTTTCAGGCTGATGGCAAGTGTCTCTGTCAGAGTCTATCTTGTGACTCTTTACACTAAGACTTAGGGACTTATTACCTTTTAATGGCAATGCACATGAGAGAGGATTTTGACTTTCCTTGTCAAAACTAGTAGAGGACACTACTTTATGACTCTGGCTCTCCAAAGTATACTGTCTCATTGGAGGCTGAATGTGGCTTGGGCTGTTCACCTTCTTTGCAAGTTGGCATGAAGTCAGTTTGATGGATGAGCCATTAGCACACTTGGATCCATTTTCTATAAAAATTCTATTAGGATCTTCATGTTTCAAGGAACTCTGGTGTTCACTGATACTTTTAAAGGCAGCAGTCTCTTTCAAAGTTTTATCCACTGACTCCTTTGCATAGAGACCACCTATTCCCTTGAAGGCCTGGAATTTTGGCTTTAAGGTGTTTTCCTCTGGTTTTTGTTTGTCGTAAGTGTTCTCCTCCTCTAAAAGGGAGGCCACAATCTCCTCAGGGCAAATACACTGCCGGCCATTGGACAGGTTATAGGAAGTCTTAGGACTCTTGGAGGTAGTATCAAGTTTGCAGGGACTGGCGTTTTGGGGGCTGTCACTCTCATTACCTTCTCCTTGAACCTTCTGCTTACGGCCAGCCAACTGTTCCAAATCAGCCAAAGTGAGATTCACTCGGGGACAGTTTCTCATCAAGGCTTTATACTCTTCATCTTCCTCAGACTCTTCACTATCACTGATGTTGGAGTCAGGTGGAAATCTAGAATTCAGAAACTTTACTCCATGACCCGGAGTTGATTCTTTGTTGCTTTTAGTTTTTTGTACTTCAACACAACCATTAGAAGGCTCTATCTTTTTAAAAGACCTTTTCTCGCTTATAGGCTTTTCTGGTTGTGGAGATGCAGTACTGTTTTTCACCTTAACAATGCTTTTTTTCATTGCAATAATTTCATCTGTATCGCTTGAGTCATAGTCACAGTCATTTCCTAAATTGGTTGAAGAATGAGGTTTGTGAATATCTGATTTGAAATCATCCCTCACAACTTCAAAAGGATCATCTTCAGATTCATTTCCTAAGGAATGCCTAGTTTTCTGTAAGTTTTCCTCTTCTGCAATCATCATTTTTAATTCATCTTCAGAGTCAATGTCATCATCAGACATGCTACTTTTATTCCAGATAATTTCAAAGTCAGAAGTATGAAAAACCACATGCTTAGGTTTCTGAGTCCCAGAACTGGCCACAAGGAGAGATTTAGAAGGTGTAACGGCACTAGGGGCTTTCCTGTGTGCAATCATTGGCTGTGGTGATTTGTTACTCTCCATCACCTCATTAGTCCTTAGACTAGTATCAGAACCCTTCGACTCTATGGGACCCTTGCTCTTCTGCACTTTCTTAATCTTCTGGGGAGGGAAAGGAAAATCAGAAAACTCTCCTCGACGTTTCTTACTCATAGGGTCATTGCCTCCCTCCAGTTCCCAAGTGAGGTCAGCTATGGGAATGGTTTTTGTCAAATCCTCCGATATCTTTTTTAGGTTGTGGCAGTATTTTGATGGATCATATTTCATAATGTTACTCAGAGTCAAGGAAAAAGCAACAGCACCAGGTATTAGGAAAACCTACCAATCTGGTGAAACAGGGAAAATGTTTAACCTTGAACAAGTTCTTTATTTCATCTACCTTTAATTTCCCATCGAAATAAATGAGGACTCCACACAGTAAGCTTCTAGGGTCTATGAAATTGAATTATAACTATCCAAAGCTAAAGTCACCACCACTATCAGTTGAGAGAAATTACTTGGATGATAAATACTACAGCAAACTCTCTGATGTACACACACACCCTCTGCACAGGAGCCCAGGATGCCTGCTTTCTAAGGTCTCAGATAACTGACTTCAGGGAACAGATATCAGAATTTGCTCACCTTGAACTCCATACTTCTCCATACACTGTTTTCTTGCTTGTTGGCCTATTTTTATCGAGTATCTTTTTTTTTTTTGGTTTTTCGAGACAGAGTTTCTCTGTGTAGCTTTGGAGCCTGTCCTGGATCTCTCTCTCTGTAGACCAGGCTGGCCTCGAACTCACAGAGATCCGCCTGGCTCTGCCTCCCAAGTGCTGGGATTAAAGGCATGCGCCACCACTTCCCAGCCTAGTATCTTCTTTTTTGAACTACTTTACTCTATCAGCTTCCTTATAAAACTATCTCAAGTCCTCCTAAGTCTTCTCTTACTCTCTATTCCTACAGTGCTCCATTAGCAAGAGCTTGTGAGTCCATCTGTAATAATCTTACTATATAGCCCTGGTTGGCCTGGAACTTGCCATGTAGACCAGGCTAGACTTGAATTCACAGAGATGTCTGCCTCAGCTTCCTGAGTGCTGGGATTAAAGGCATGTGCCACTATGCTCAGCTTGTAGTAAATTTATACATTAACACATGAAAATGCTTCCTTGGCAACCATCATTCATATCACTTAATAGCATAAAACTGCATGTCACTCATTATTCTCAATGTGCTTTATATATGTAGAAGAATTAGAGCTTACCTTGAGAGAAAGAGGTAACATGTTGAAGTAATTAAAAATTTATTAATAGAGGCAGTGAAACCCTAAAGATGTTTTGCCATCACTCTGGGAAATAATAATTACTTTGAAATGCTGACCAAAGAAAGGATATTTTACGTTTATGTTGATTCTTAAGGTGAAGAACAGGTAGGACTCTTCCAAATTTACTCACAACCCAATTCTAAAAGAAAAAAAAAAGACTTATAATTGTCATAAACATAAATGAAATAATAATAAATAAATGTAATTTTTTTAAGTTGAACTCACAATGGGCTACTGGGGAGTTTAGTTTTTTGACAACAAAATAAAATGTCTAGAAGAAGAAAAGTATGAAGAAACAAAAATGAAAGAAAATTCCAACTATATCACGGGCAATATTTTACACACACACAACTATTAAAAATGTGGCCATGGTCTAGGATGTAGTAGGATACACCTATAATCCCCGCACTCAGGGACATGGCCACTGAAAGACTACTAATGCTCTAGTAGAGGGTCCTAACCTATGCATATACAGATAGGTACTAAGATTCAGTGGGTTTAAAAAAAGAGATAACAAATTATGTAGGGAGGCAAAGTACTGGTGGGGTTAAGAGAGAAACTGGAGGGGAAGAATTAAGAAATGGATTTGATTAAAATACATTATATACATGTATGAAATCCTAAAACAAGAGTAACAATAAAATACAAATAGTTCTCAAAAAGGTGGGGAAAAAAGCAATCTCAGGACCTGCCAGTCCATATTCCCACCTATGAAGTGTGGGAAGCTGTGCTGACTGAAGACTTATAAAAGCATGTTGAAACTTAAAAACAAACAGCAAAACCCCCAACCTAGATGTTAACTGCTCCAAAGTGGAGAAAAAGCATCAGTTTTGGATGTCACAACTACAAACATGATGTCTCGGGAGACATGGTAGGCACAGTCACTGAAGGAAACTCACTTTATGTCCTGGTACCTCTGTTCCAGGCACAGCTTTCATATGGAAATCTACTCCTCCCATCTTTTCCAATAAGGAGGTGTTGCCAGTGGTTGATTTTTCTACCTTTGCTT